CATCTCTTACCACAGATAGGATCCGTTTGAATCTTGTGATTCTGATGAAGTCCACCTGTATAGTCATTGCTTATGTTGTTGAAGAAATGTTTGCAGTGAAGCATGTGTTGGCCTTGAAAACTCTCGTGTGATCTTCAGCTTAATTTCTATCACCAAGGTCATATTTTCTGACTATTCTTTCCTCTTTGTTTCCACCTTTCTCATTTCAGTCAAATATGTATCTTGATTACATATTTGATCAATTGTAGACTAAGAAGTACAATTCTTCATCACTCTTTAGCGGCTGGCACATAAACTTGACAGTAGTTGTATCAACTGGACTTCCTTCTAGACAGGTAGACACTGGCCCATGAGATGCAGCACTGTACTTCAAGGTAGGTCTTGCAATGTCCCTGCATGCCATTTCTCTGATATTTGCCATACCTGATGTAGTAAAGCCTATGATTATGCAGCTCAGAATGGGCTACATCTTTGAATTCAGCTCACTTATGCCTAGGGTATTGATCTTCATGGGTTATATTCAAATTTAGATGATTTCCAGTGTTCCTAGACTCCTTCTGTAGACAGTCCACATTCTGATTACTGATTGGTGTTTGCAGCAGATTCTTCTAATTTTGAGTCATGTCCGCTCAGCAAATGAGGCCTAGAAAGTGTTACTCCCTACACATCCTTGTGGTTGACTTGACCCTGAGGAGGCAGCTTTTAGTTGCACTTTGAATGCCTTCCAATGTGAGCAGTCTTACCGTCTGTCACTTCTGCTATTAATAAAGTTGTCAGTGGCTATTCCTTCTGCTGATTCCTACTTAATTTTCTGTTCTTAGTCCGGAAGCTGCGCTGAAACCTGTTGGTATTTGAAATGCCTGTGGCATAATAGCTTCCAGCATCACACCAACATGCTGGGGATCAAAGTACAACAAACTTGACAGGCGAGAGGTGGAGAATTCATAGGTCTTAACAAAATGACGGAGCCCTGTTGGCATGGTAACTGCAAGGCCAGCAATTCAAAACCCCCAGCCACTCTGTAGGGGAATGATGGGATTTTCTACCCTTATAACCAGTGACAGTCTCGGGTACTCACAGGGGCAGCTCTACCCTGCCCTATAGGGTCGCTGTGAGTCGCAGTGAGTTTGCTTTTTGATTTATCAAAATTATGAGGAGAAGAGACTTGGTGGGTCACAAGGACAGCAGTTCAAACCCCGCAGTTGCTCCTCAGGAGAAAGACGAGGTCTCTGCTCCAGTGGACTGATAGGTGGGAACGCAAGGGACATTCTACTCTGTCCTGTCGGGTCCCTGTGCGTTACAGTGGAATGAATGGCAGTGAGGTTTTTAGTGATCAAGACTGTGACGTGCCAGTGAGCGTGATGTCAGTTGTTTGTTATGTTGAGGATGTTAATTTAGCCAATGTAGTTGATTTCATGACTTACTATTTAGAAAGTCTCGACTCATTAGTGTGTTGTTTTGTTTTTTTAAGACTGAGCATCTTGTGATATTTCATCATTTAGTTGTAGTGGGATCTCTTCATATGCTATGATAGTTGCTTACTTTCTCTTTCCTTTTAATATTATAGAAAAGTCTTGAAGTTTGGTTATGTTTATTAATGGCTAATGCTTCATCCCAGCCTGTAAATAAATGGAATAACCCAAAACAAAGAAACCCAGCTCACTGGCATCAAGTTGATGCCAGCCGACTCATAGGACAGGGTAGAACTGCCCCTGTGAGTTTCTGAGACTGTCACTCATTATAAGAGGAGAACTTTGCTGCATCTGCTACAAGAAAGAAAATCGTTCTCAGCAACCAGACCGTCAACATTCTGGGGAATTTCCTTGAAGGGGGAGCGCACAGGTACCATGAAGGGGCTCAGAGGAACCCTGCAGAGGGACTTCAATCATATCAACGTAGAACCCAGTCTATGTGGGAAGAAAAAGGCTTCAAGTTGACGGGGGG